TTTAGATTCACTTGTCTTGCTCCTAGGCGCTCCTGTTGTTCTCTAAAATCATGTGTTCACTCTCCACTGAGAAACATTGGGAAGTACATCCATTTATCCATGAGAGTAATGGTAAATGGGGGCATAACAGGAAGAATGCAAGAGAACGTGCTTACAAATTGTAAAATGGCATACAAAACAACCTAGCACTTCACATTTTAAGGCTGATGTCCTAAGCTATAAATATCTAGTAAAATCAGAAAAATAAGACCTTGTTTGAATTTATAAAGATAACATACCAAGCCATGCAGCCCAACTAGCTTAAATTCGTTCTCAACCACAGATTCATCCTCAACAAGCACAACATCTCCAATCTACAAAAGCAATTAGTACCTTGCATATCATTATAACTGAAGTTTCTGCTGCACTATTAATAAGAATATATACTTCACTATGTCAAGGTGGATAACAAGAATAAAGGGTACATTGAAAAATAAACGAGCATTCTTGAATATTCAACCTGATATATATCGTCAAAAAGGAATTTGTCCGCATCTCCTGAAAGCAAGCTTGGCCTCACTTCAACCAATGCCACAACCCACTGGAGAAAAATGAAATAGAACAAAATCAAGAAAAAACCGTGGCATTAATGTTAAAAATGATTATTACCACAAAACATAACACTTCCTAAATAGGTATGTCATCTTTCCTATCTTATGAGCACTAATTGCTGAGGCGCAGTTCATCCATGCTTCCCACCTCTATTTCCAACGTTCCTAGAAACATCTAACAGCAAATATAAAAAACTAACTGTCAATACAATGAAGATTTTCCACAAACCAACTCAACCACCTCTAGAAAAATCTCTAATGGAAATTAAGCATAACGCGGGGTACAATGCAAAGACCTAAGCTGCTCTGGGAGGACCTCAGATGGCCACGACAGCGTAGAGGAAACTGTGACGACGACAATAACTTAACATGATCAGTTAAAATTTTCCATCTGTGGCAAAGCACATGTGTTTAGCTAGCATATGATGATGGCTGACTCAGAATAAAAGATTGTTCAACTGTGGCAATTGAGTACCATATTTTTACGACTAGGAAAATGTTCTGTTTAAACATGTGAATCCTAAGAAGAGGAAGATTCATATCAAAACATAAGAGGATTTCTTCGAAATAATAAGAGGAAGGTGGAGCGTGGTCTATGATAATAAACTAGATCCAATACCAGATTTGATCTATGACTATAAACTAGGATAGGACCCACAAGGTCAGGCGTACCCTCATTGCAGCGTTATTACAGATTGTTAATACTTGGAGCAATAATGTGACCTTCATTCTTGTTTGCCAACACCAAATAATATACTCTTAAAGTTACTTACTTGTGGGCAATTTCTCTACTGAAGGCGCACATCATAAAGTGAGGGCTATTTGGACTCATCAGCGAGGATGTTGCCAGAAAAAAACAGGTAATATTGATGATTGATACTGATGACAAGTAGGCTTGGTTTGGACACCAAATCATCATGAAGTTTCTAAAGTATTTGATGATGTAGCCTCTAGAGTGTTCCAGCCTTTAAAATTTCAACTTCCAAGGGCTTCTTTGATTCAAAGGATTCTCAAAGGAATTTTGAAGGATTCTAATCCTTAGGATTTTTTCACCTCTGTGGGTTGTTTGATTCGTAGGATTGTAAACCATAGGAATTTTTCCATAGGATTCATTTGCACTAGATTTCATAGGAAATTTTCCATCCACTCAAACCTCTTTGAAAGAATCCTACGTTTTTCTTATGCACAATCAAACACTCATACAATCATGTAGGATTCAAGATGACATGCCATTCCAATCCCACGTTTTTCCTATTCCTGCATTTGGGAAATCCTACGAATCAAAGAGTCCCTGAGCTTCGCTGGCTGAGGAAGATGAAGAGGATACATTCTTATTTTTTTATCCATCTTCATTTTTCTCGTACAGTTAGGTTGGCATCAAGACACTCCTGGTTCACTGGGCCTTAAGAAGTAAATTGTATTTGTTTCTTCTGACAAACTTTTAATTGGAAGTTGAAATTTTAAAGGCTAGAACACTCTAGAGGCTACATCATCAAATACTTTAGAAACTTCATGATGATTTGGTGTCCAAACCAAAAGGTGGGTCGAATGCCCCTGTTTCCTGATCAATCCTTTAGTGCTCGTTAGTCATAATACTAAATGGACCCTTAAAATTACTCAGTATTGCCTAAGCAAGGATGTAGCTGACCCTCTATGTGCCACAGTTTACTAGAAAGCATCCACAGTTCGTTGATCTGATACAGAGAGTGGAATCCAAACTTTATGGAGGAAAGGACCCCTTAGCAGCTAGGAAATGTGTGCCAATAGAAGAAGAAGAAGAAATGACAAGCCAGATCTGCCAATTACGCTAGAACATTAACACAATACACATTGCACTTTACACTAAACATATCACAGGTAGTATGACTTGAGACCGAGCAGAACAACTAAATTTGTTAGTCGTGATGATAGTTGA